TTTTAATTAAAAACAAAGATTTGTCCTCTATCAGCAGGAGGCATGGTGAAATAGGAGCACGCACTTACATTCTCTAGGGAACAATACGCAAATACATAGTCGAAAAATCTACGACCAGTCACCACAAGTAGCACCCGTTCACGAGTATGACGCATGGCCAGCTATCGGCCTATAGTTATTGAGTGTTTTTAATACTATTGTATCTTGTTTCATATTATGTAGGCCGGTTGGTAGAAGTGTATTCACTTATGAGCCTTCTGGTAGTGTCCATAGGGGATAACGGACAAATGAGCCACCGGTTTGCCCCCACTTCTATGACAAAAACATCTCTCAATATTTTGTTTTTGTGTTTTATCTATTCATACTATGCAAATGAACGTTATATTATTGAAGATATATTTTTGTCCCTATAGAGCAGTGTTGGCCTAAACCTAGGCTTTAGAGTGCGACTCTCATCCCTGAGGTTGTAGGTTCAAATCCCAGCTATGCACTGAACGATGAAGGAAAACATCGTGAGGAAACCGGCTTGCCTTAGACCCAAAAAGTCTACGGCGTGTATAACAGGAGGCTCACATCACATACTTGCCTATTACATTCACAAATCATGAAACAGATACAGAAATCTGAGGCCCAGACCTAAAAAGGTTGTAGCACCACTGTGATTTGCCTCTAACATCATCATCGATCTATAAAATCAAAACATTTTTTGAAAATCGCGGGGACCATACAAACACACAAATATTCGGTTTAAAATGGAGGTGATTTTAGCCAGTTGGGTGAAGTGATTTTTACTAAGATAATATACTAAAACCCATTGTGCAGACATCTTTACCCAACTCTATATTTGCACTAACCCTTTTTCTGCGGAATCCACTTATCTCTAAGGAATTCCCTTCCCTCGTTTAATTCATTAAAATACCATACTTGGACCCCCGAGATGGTAATGACTAAGTTTTTTGACGTTTCATAGAATATTTATTTATGGTCAAACAGCCTTTGGCTTAGTGGTTAAATTGTTTATGGATCTAGGAGATTTCTAAGATAAAGTAAAAATTGCTTTTGCTTAGGAATTTTTATATAGTTGAAATATTTCTTTATTCAAAGTTTACGGCTAAGAAGACAACAGCTATAATGGCTGATAAACGACTCTTAGTTTGGAACTACCCAAGGTCCTTTTAGTCAAATTCTGAAAGAACTCCTCATTTTTTGTGTCAGTTAACTTGTCTGTTAGTTTAATTTGACTCTTGACTATGAAAAAGTCTTAAGCATATCACTCAGGAAGCTTGTTAGTTTAAAAGGGGGTCGAGTATAGCAAGTTTTGTTAAGAGCTCACTCAGTTTGAGTATGCTATAGAGCGAGTAAATTGCTCATAGATAGCTTGAAGTAGTAGATATTAAAACTGTGTTACTGACAGACAAACGTCAGGGAGAATGTACAAAAGGCAGTACATAATTAGACAAAAGGCTGTTTTTTAACAAGGTTCACCAGTGACCCCAATCATACTGCCAGAAGACTCACAAGTGCGCTGCCGGCCTTTTAAAAATTGGTACGTTCTTTTCTTGAAGGACGGTAAGTCGTATTATTACGAAGTTTTAGACTGATGACCAATCACAATCAAACTGGCCCCATCGTCGTGCCTGTCATTTATAATATGACAGATACTATAGGTATATAGGAGACAGACTCTCTTTCTCTATGAGAGAAGAGAAACCTTTGTATAAGAGAATAATAATTACTTCGTAACAATTAATTAGTTTTTGCGTTATAAACGGTAGCCAAGTTTCTTAATTTGTGACTTTTGTATATGATATTTTAAAGCTCGTACATTATAGTACTAAATATAAATATATGGTATTTTTATAAAATTTTATTTTTAATCCAATGAACATTAATAAAAATATTTATATATTTTACAACTACCGTAATTTGTATTCGTTCTGAATGAGTTTCTATTTCTTTTTTACTATTGTCCTAAGTTAAATTCGTTGCTAGTTTGTAATTTATGTTCTTATATTTGTGTGTCTAAAATGTGTGACCTCATTCTTGTAGTTGTTTTAGGACTTATAAACGAATTCGTTTTATCTGTAAAATAGTTTCAGAAAGGACCAATTGAATGCCAGTTCAAGTTATGGTGGGACTCTTATCGGTGGTCGTTAGCTGTGTGGTGCATGCCATAGTGTGCGCGCTCTATTAAACGAATGATAATTGTCATGTCATCTTCCATAATCACTAGAAAGCTATACTTGTCAAAACATTAAAATGTCAGCTTATTATTACATAACTGTTATAGCAAGAATTAAATACAGAACTTTTAAAAAGCTTTGTATAAGAGTTTTGAAATTAAAAAAAAGTACTAATTTAATAAGGTAATGTGTTTGTTTATATTGTCGAAGTCACCAAGTTTACACCAAGTTACAAATAAAATTATGAAAACAGGCAACACCCCCAATTATTAAGTTAGTTCTATAATAATTTAATTAACAATATCGTTGCCATGGTAACCGGTTATTACAAAGATGACTATAGAGCTGTTACAACATTTAAATGAGCGATCATTTTAATTTATTACACGATTAAAGTTTTTTATTTTATCTCATTTATGGCTCTATTAATTTTTATTGTTGCCTTTTTAAGAATTCTGTTTAAATAATTTTGCTTGAATAATTGTTGGTTTACAAGGTACTTTTTACTTATCGGATATCTTAATTGATATTATATAAAATAATTGAGACAGGTTAATTTTTAACCTTGATTTAAGCTGTAGGTAACAATTTTTGACGTGATAACGTCTAATAAATCGATGAACGCACGAATATATATAATTTTCATGAAGAAATCAAATATTGTCCCGTTACGCTCAATGTACGCTTGCGCCGAATCTATCTCTCTTCCACTCGAACACTTGAGCCTGCAATCATTTCATCAATGTTTTGTTATGACGTTGTCACGTTAAACTATCGTCCATAAACCGACTTTGAAGACAACCATTTTTTTATGAGTATTACGTATTTTAATGAATATTTTCCCTTTACAGTTGAGGTTTTTAATCATAAAATATTTATTTTTTTCGAGAATTTATGCCTTGTTAGATATGCATTAAATGATTAAACAATTATAGCCTTGAAACATGGCAAATAGGAGATAAGGCTGAGCAAGAAAAGATAGTAAAAGTCGATCAACTTGGCGCATGCTTTTGCCTCTGTGATAGACGAAATCATATCGCGGAAACCCAGTCCAATGCTTACATAAAACAAAACACTTGCGCGGCTAATTAAAGACGATTAACAGCTCTATATAATTACAAAAAAAACACCTAACAAGCCTTTTTGTGTTCATCGAAGCGAGGGCAGTTTTTTTATTTCTCGTAAGAACCGCTTGTAAGAATTTTGTTAAACACATTCTGTGTCATGGCTCGTTATTTTTTTTATTGTTTTTGTACGCGTTTTTGTGTTTTTGAACGGTAGACGATATGTTTCTTGATTTGTGACATTTGATTGACTTTTGTCTATGATATTTTAAAGCTACCTCGTACATTTTTTATATATGCTATGGTATTTTATTGGAACTACTTAACATTAAATATTATTCTTTTAATGACCATAACGTCAGCAGTTTTCATGAAGAAATCAAATCTCATTTAATCAGTAGTAATTATATGAAATCCATCCAAAAAAATCATTCGAAAATACATTTTTCTACAACTATACGAAACGTCTTTGTGGCGTATAAAACGAAGATCTTACAGCGACATAACGATTAGGCATAGAGGTTTATTTACGAAACATTATTTTATACGAACAACTAAAAAAAGCCAAAAATGTTTCGTTACGTTGTAACGTTCATAGTAACGGTTAAAGTTATAAGACACGTAATAAGATACCGAAGCCGACAGTATATCATATTATATTTATATAATGTTACTTGATTTATGTTATAGCTACCTAAACATTGAGATTTTAACTCAAGGAATAAATTAAAAAAGAATTCACCGTTTATATTTTACGAGTTATGAGTTTTTATGAAGAAATCAAAAGTACAGTAGAGTACGTATAGTCTATAATAACAGACCGCTTTCGCAAGTACTTCTCTGTATTCATAGACAAACAGAAACTAAAAAGATGCTATTACAATTCATTTATGATTTTTCTGATTTTATTTGTCCCAGCCTTAATAAGCCGTTCAATTAACAACCTAGCCTTTAGCTAAACTTCGCCGTTTAACTAACGGACTGAAAGATGTTCAGCCAGTTGATCAAACAGGTACGCAAATGAAAATGATCTAAGACATTTTATTACTTGTAAGTAGTAAGCTAACTATGACGTTTTATTTTGGTTTTTTTTGTTTTGGTTATTTAGTATTTTTTAGTTTGATAATTAAACAGCCAGTTGGCTGCGACATATTATATATATATAATTCGCAAAAATTGTATCAGTCTTCATTTTACGACTTTGGTCAACCGGGTAGGGGCTACATCCATGGGGCCCTCATAATAGAGACGAATTAATCAATACTTGGTGTCATAATAAATAATTTATTGAAAAAACCGACTGTAAAAAATGTACAATTTTATTTGAAAATTTGGTACCAGATGACCTCCACTCCTTTGTTGTCCCGACGCCACCAGACTTCTAAATCCGGCTTTGTGGTAGACAGATAATCGGATGATATTCCTAACATCTTCCCAATAAATGTTTTCATATAACGCAAAGATACTTAAATGAACATATATCCCACGTAATAGAAGACAAACCGGAAACCTAATAAAAACATTATCAGTAATATTTATCTTGTATCGTAGTAATTAAGAGATTAACAAACAGAGTTGTGTCAATCAAGACACGGATTACTGGCCACTTCATTTGAGTTGCCCATGACTCAATTAGACAAAAAAATTCTATAACATAGATTATAATTTGGCGTTTGAACTATAAACACGAATAAAACAAAATTATTAATTTCTTCTGTTTGTTTCAGGTTATAATGGTGTGAGAAAAACAAACATGGCTGACACCGAGAGCATTATAAAGACTAAAGAAACGCACTCAGAAGATATGAATAAAAAATTCAATATACCCATCACAATGTTTAGCAAAAAACCTAGTTATGTAATATATAACAATTTTTACAAAGAAGACTTAAAAAGAATAACTCTAAAGAGAGAATATAGTTTTTACAACTATTGTTTCATAAGTGTATGTATTAGTTTTATATTAGGTTTTATAATTGGAGTTGTGTTAATGGGCGCTCAAACAAGTATCGCTGTGAAGAATCCCAGAAAACTTAACTTGACTATAAGAACGTTGAACTCATTAAAAGTTCCCAAAGACACGAGGGAACTAGAAATTTTAGATAAAAGAGGGTTTTCTGCCGTTTCGTTCACGGGAGACAACCACAAATACAAAGACATTTACCCCAAAAGTCTCACTGATGATATGAAAGAGATTTTGAAAGATAATAAAATGAATCGAGAACACAAAAAACTTAATTTCAAACTTAATAGAACGTTACATGTTCCTAATGAAAACACTGTACTCTACGGAAATATCTACTGGGGGACGGAAGTAGAAAATTCAATGCCACAAGGATATGGAGAGAACACGGCGGAAATATGGGAACAGTACGTAAACCAAAGTGAAGTTGTCAAAATGGAAGCCGGATGCGGAAGGATGCAAAATCGTCTTGTCACTTTCAAAGATGGAATACAAGCTTGTGTGCGGTATAGACAAAATACAGATCAAATTCAAGGAGAGATATTTAGTTTCTATGTCGCTCGGTTGCTTAATCTTACTAATTTAGCACCAACAGTTGTTAAAATAGTCGATGTTAAAGATAAGCTGTGGTCTAATGTAGCTAATGATATAGCGACAGCTCAGTGGAATTCAAATAGAGCAGTTATTTTAACTCAATATATACCGTCACTGGAATCGGCTACTATACCTGATATTTTTAAGCCCTCAAATCGCCACCTAAACAAAAAAGACATTCAGGAAATAACGATGAAAGAAAAAGATACGGATAAACAGATTTTAATAAACAAACTCAAATTAAAGAATGTAAAACCTTTAATTGATGACACAGATTTCGATCATGTTGATATGAAACTGAATAAGAAAACGAAAGAATTGTTCGTAGAACTTGCTCAATGGTCAGATTTGATTATTTTCGACTATCTAACTGCCAATTTAGATAGAATTGTAAATAATCTGTTTAACTATCAGTGGAACGTGAATATAATGGACGGACCCGCGCATAATTTAGCCAGAAAGATGGACAGTGGACTACTTATGTTCCTAGATAATGAATCTGGCTTGTTGCACGGTTATAGACTATTAAAAAAATATAATGTGTATCATAGCTTAATGCTAGATAACTTGTGTGTGTTTAGAAAAAGAACAGTTGACTCTTTAAAGGAACTAAGTGATTTATCTATAGGTAGTAAATTAAGTGAAATATTTCATAGGAAAAATAATGCTGTTATTAGAGATATATTACCTCCACTACCGGAGAAGAATGCAAAAATACTTCAAGAGAGAATCAGTAAAGTTTTAGGTCAAATTGAAAAATGCGAGAGACTGTTTGGAACCAGATAATCTAAATTCATTAAATAGTCGGATTATAATATCTGCCGGAGTCATGCTAAGGAGTGCAATAACAATTAGGTACAATTAAAATTCATACTAGAAATAAAGGCATCATACTTTTACTGATTAGAATAGTATCAGACTTTATTAGCATGGCTTCGTCTAAGATTCGTTCATCTACTACGGTTACTAGCAATAAGCAAAACCCTGGGATTAAGAGTATAAACCAAAGGACGATACAATGGTGTGTTTCGTTTGATTTTGATTGTTCAAACAAAATACACGAGTTTTTGATTGGACTACAAATCTTGTTGACCAATTAAAATCAAAAAATACGTTTTAGATTCTTGTCCCACAGAAACTTTAGTAAACATTTCAACTTTTGTTTGATGAAAATCATTTAAACGAAATTCCCTAGTTACATAAAATGTTTAAAGGTTTTTAACAAAAAAGACAGTAATAAAAGCCGCAGACTCTAGAATTGAAATCATATCTTATGACCTTCTATTAAAGCGCATTTTACAATGCACAAATATTGCATCAGCTAAATCTCCTTTTGTTAAAACCTTTGCATAAATGAATTGTAACTGACTAAATCGAATTTAAAATTTGTATAAAATTAATGTATATGTGAGAAAAGTGATAGCGTTTTTGATACCAAATATAATTATTTATTGTAAAATATATGTGCCAGTAATATGTGATGATATTTAATGAATATTGTAAATACTTTAGCCGTCAAGTGGAAAATAATAAACTCACTAATTTTAGCAAATCGTAAGTTTCAATATTTATTTCATATTTGGCCTATGTGTGTTCGGTAAATGGTGTCTTTATTGCTTTTAGTAAAGTAATAATAGAAACGAATAAACGTCATGCTTTGACGATAATAACACATTTGTTCTGTTACTCGGGTTTTAAAATGCGACAGACATTACTGCAACAGCCCAATTAATTTAAATTTATATTAAAATGTGTGCTTCTCCACTGAAATTTTCCCGACCATTGTTATTTCCCGACTACAAAATAATTTTAAATAAAAATGTAATACGAAACACAAAAGCAGTACAGTAACGCAACAATTGGTTTTAGAAAAAGACATTGTTAAATGCATTGTACATAACTTATGTAATTTGTCACGGATTCCACATAAAGCGAGCTTTAAGTTATGTAAATATATGTAAAATATATATTGTAATTATAATAAAATGAATGTTTAAGTCTTTGTTGTTTATTTAAGAAGCCTTCATACATAATTGATGTTTAAGGGGACAATACAAATTTGAAGAAACGCCTAATGCACCATAAGGTAGCGCTGCCTGCGGCAATACTATATATATACTAGACATCCTAACCTAGGTGATATGAAAATCTAAATAGTTCAATTAGAAAGCGTACGGCGCTTATTATTGCATTTATTAGGGTTATATCTTGGGACTAAAATAATAATGAATTATTAGATATGATTTCTCATTTTTTTCCCCTTTTTTTCACATCTAATAAATGAAGATGTGTGAACGGTTACACCCAACAGTTTTTTATATAATCTGGGTAAACTTTCAATATTATTCTGCTGCTCACTTCCAAAATCTATTCAGATACTAAGGTTTGAATCGTTTCAAATTAACACTATCCGGAAAATATACATTGTTGGTAAAACTTACAACGAGAACTAAATTAAAATTTATTAATTATTACTAGATTTAGTTCCCTTTTGAGAAGAGACTCTTGGACCGTGGGGTTCAGGTGCATAGGCGCTTATTAATGATTTAAGTTGGCGCCTAGTAGATAGTAGCATTGTGACAAAATGCATTATAATATAACTCTGCCTAGGTACATTTAATTCAAGTAATTTGCATTTAATCTCAGTTCTCCAACTAAGGGGGCAAACCGAAGAAAAAGCAATAAACTCCCCGATACTATTAAAACCTCCAAGTTCTGTTACAAAAGCTGTACTCATTACATAGTCTAAATGACACAATTAATAATAATAATCCAAAAACAAAAGACTGTGCTTTCACGTATGTTTGGAAGTTTCTCTATTATTCCGCATCTGTACACATTTTGTGAACTAATATACACATAAAAACGAATAAATGCAAAAAATAGTTTACTGGACATCACCAGACAGTTGTAAAATAAACTGTACCTCATTTAATGTATTCCACCCACGCCCACCTGGCAGCCCTTAAACATACACAATTTTTTCTACGGAAATACTATTGTTATACGTTTAAAGTGAGTATCTGTTCAGAGTTAAGTTTATTATTAAGATGTGAATACAAAATCATTTAGTTATATCATTTCTGTACCAACTTTAACGAATCTATACTATTATTTTAAAGATGTAATATAAGTGAATAGATAGCTTGGCTATCTGGGACCCGTGGCAAATTCTTTTGATGGGGCCCTATCAGTAAAAATCGTCACGTTGTACTTACTCAGTTTAGTTTTAACAAACTTCGAGATTTTCAGCGTACTCAATGACACGTTGTATATGTCCGACTAATGGTCATAGGCCTCTTCTCTTAGGCGAGATGGAATAGTCTGTAGTCCCCACGCTAGCCCAATACGTATTGGAGACTTCACATTCATCCATAGAACATAATATCACTTGGTCAGAGGCCCTCTTTGGAGTCTGCTCTTTGGTGGTGGCCCGTGGCATTTTGCCAGCCCTGCCACCCTATTGTTACGTTAATATGATATTAACCCACAAGGGAAAGACATTTTCGTGGTAGTTAGATTTGCAAAGTTGGAGGAAAATCAATGAAAGAAAAAGTTTCATCATCGGACGTCGAGACAATATACGAAATACCACCCGTATCACCTCGACGTTCGCTGTTCCACAACTGAGCGTTTTTACAGGTAGTTTTTGCCGCGCACCACCACTATGTGGAACCAGCTGCCCACTGAAGAATTTTCGAACCAATTCGACTTAGGGTTCTTCAAGAAAGAGCGTACCAAGTCTTAAAAGGCTTGCAACGCACTCACGAGCCAGAAGGCATTGAGAGTGTCCATGGACACTTAACATCAGTTCTAGTAATAATAAAAAAGCAGTACGATGAAAGATATATGATTGAGATCTAGAGATAGGTAAGTAGAGATTGCAAATACCTACAATAAGGTCAGAGATAGTATGTCCAACTTTTAAACTAAACAAAAACAACCTCCGCCGCGTCTATATGTCTGTTCGCGATAAACTTAAAAACTACTGCACCGAATTGATTGCGGTTTTCACCAATATTTAGAACGATTCATGATGAAGGTATGTAACTTTTTGAGGTTTATGGGCTACAGTTACCAACTACACTATAAAGTTATATAAATTGATGATTACAGAAAAAAATCACCTTACAAAATCTACACATACGTAGGTATACATGTATTCTTGTACTAACAAGTTTATCAGTCTTTGAAATTGTATTTCTAAACACTGTAAACAAAATCAAAAGAACTACTTTGATTCGCGTAAGACGGAACGTGTAGGATCTGATCCTACACGTTCGTCCGTATATTTCAAATTTAGTTATGGACTTAGACAATCGATGAGGTATGCTTGGCTACGACTGAGGCGAAAATCAGCAATATATTATATCAATCTACATTGGTAACATTGATTATATCTCATAAGTTCATAAAAGGAGGACAGAGGAAATTAGTAAGTAAGTTTAGACAATACACATATGGGGATATTTATAATAAATAAAGGATTATAATTAACTGGGGAATGGTTAAATCACAATTCATACATATACTTTCATTTACTTCACAGACTTATGGCTAAAGTAAATTTACTTCAGTCGAAATAATAGGGTATTTAAGACTCAAAAAAAAATGTATTAGAGCAAGTTGTGGAGCAAACTCATGATAGTTGCGTACCTTTATTTAATAAACTCAAAATGTTATCTCTTCCCTTCGTCGAAGTAAGAAGTAGACATGGGGAGAAATTGGCTGTGCCGAAAATCTATTTGGAACTGATTAGGAAAAACGCCTTTTGTATGGCCATTAAGGTTTACAATAATTTACCAAAAGTTTTAAAAGATCTTCCGACTAGTCTTTAAAAATCGGCTTGGTGTATTACTTTTGGAAAAAATATATTATACGATAAATTATTATTTGCGCGAGACACTGTAATTTAATAACGTATGATATGTACGACACAAATTATATAAGAACTGACCAATTCATATGACTAATAATGTAAAATGTAAAATTCCTCTAAAGACAAATTTGCGCGCCATTGTGTGTGGCAGAATATACGAATTTACGATTGTACCGCCTTACACATTTTTGTACCATATTCTTGCAATAAATTATTATTATTATTATTAATAATATAGTTTTTAACATCTTTTTTGGAGACGGCTTAGAAAAAGTGAAAAATATTAATAAATGGAGTCAATACTCACTTTTGCGAATATTCTAACATTACTTGTACATAACTATAAGGCATCAATTTTCGTTACATAAAATGAATTTTATAGTATTCTATAATAACCTACATATTTTCCAACTATGTTAACCAATCTCAGTAGAGATGCCATCTGATTTCAACTTTATATTTGACAAAAACTATCTTCCGAATTCGTATTCATATATTTTATGTATATGGAAGTATTTTTACTCAGTTGAGATCAGACAAAATTGCAGGCAGATGGTTGTATTTGTTTTAATAAATGAAATATAATATTTCAAAATTGAACTACCAAGTCCTTATGTCTAACTTATAACTTAAAGCTAATATAAATAATATGAAATTTAAACCGCTGTATTCAGACAAAACCTACTCAAAACTGAGCAAAAATCTACTCTTATTCAAAGCAATAAAGTCTAAAATTCCTTGATACATCAACCCCTTCAAATTTTTATATATAGTTAATGAAATTGGCCTTTACCATTAATCACATAAGGACCATATTTCTTTCAATACGCCTAAAAAGAGGGTTCTATTGACAGCGTTGTCATGCGGTTTTCACATGTATGACTTCTAACATACGACTGATATTCGT